AAATATAAATAAGATATTAGAGGAGATCTGAATCTACTTTGTGCTATTCCGTCACCTTTCACTTGGCATGTCTGAATCCAAAGCGGCTCTGAGAGGGGACTCGAGGTCAGCCGAATGGGGATCTTGAGGGTTCTAAGGAGATTCGGATGTCATTTGAACGTGAACGAAGTGATATGGAGAATTGACTTCATGGTCGGTGGGCTTCCGAACCTGGAGGTATGAGATAACACCGTCCTGTTGGAGTGGGATTCGTATGTCACCACAAATGATGGATTGGGATTCATTGGTTCTGTATTCAAACGGTAGGTGCAACTGTGGCACATCGTTGACAACTTACTGGTGATGTCGCAGCTTAGCTGGACAAATGAGATTTTTCTGTAATGACTTCTAAGTTTCAAGTATTGAGTTGATTAGAAAGTTAGTAATATTTGAATTTTTAGATGTGTGAGTGTGTCGTTCATATTTTTTCGAGCTCAAAGTCACATACATATTGGCTTTTTTTTTTTTTGTTTTGTGTATGGTTCCAAAATCAGTTGAAAACCCTTCGCCGGATATAGTCTCTCCCGAGTCATGTACCACGTAAGCACTTCCCCCAAAGGAACATGTATCGGCATGGCTGTCAAGTTCAATCCGAGATGATGGCATATGAGTAGCAACGGATCGCAGAGTGCGAACGGCAGAGACTCATGCTCGCCGATTCATGGCATTGCCTACGCTAGATCCACCATGAACATCAGTCCGGGATCGTTTCTCGGCGTGCAATTCCGAGACTTGGTACTGGGTATCTGACAACTTTGTCTGCAACCAGCCCGCTCTGTCACCATCGCGGCGTCCTAGCCTGCGCTCGTCGCGACGTGAAGCCGACCGACTCATGGGATGAATAATCTCCTGGGTTTGGGTCAAAAAACCCGCCCTCATGGCCCTACCATACGGCCTTCGCCCCTGCCTGCCTCTTCGCCATACCGAGCCTTGGACTACCACCGGCCACGTCCTCGCCTCTTCCACCACTCGCGCGCCTCGACCACGTTGCCAGAAGCAGAGAATATTTCTTGTGGGTCGTGTGGGTTCAGCGACATCAAGTTGCTCGGTTAAGTAATTCATAGCCTCCTGGAACCTCTCGCGTAGATGCGGAGTCGCTTGAATGACGGACTTGACGGTCTTGAGGTTTGGGTATGTAATGCCGGACAGAAGATTGCGAATCTTGCGGCTCACAGTAAAGGTTTCACCAGAGGTTTCCAGATCGGTGAATGCCTTGGTAAGCCTTTCACAGTAGCGCCCAAAAGTGAAGTTGCGGGACCTCCCATCAAAGAAAGTAGATTCATCCGCCGAATCCGACACCTGGAAAATCACCAAAAGGACTTCAGCCAAGAAGCTGCTCGAGCCGTTCTTTGCGCTTGCACAAACGTTGGACCCATGCCAACCAGGCCACGGGGGTAACCTACCGAATGAGGCCCAAACAGCTTGATTGTCTTGTGACGAAATGAGGTGCGCATGTCTTGTTCTTCGGACCAATTCTTCAGGATGCTGATGGAAAGGCCAAAACCTGGGTTCAGCCTCATCTGCGGTGTCGGTATCAAGTTCTCCTGGCAAAGTGACTTTGGATCCGTAACATAAGCCAGAGGGCACCGCCAACGCCTCGCTTTACATTCAGAACATGTCAATAACCTCCAGAATCGTCGACATCTTCGACCTTCCAAGAGTTGGGGAGGATCCGCAACATCATCTCTTCTCGTTCGGACTCGTATAAAGTCCCAAACTCTATTCAGATCTCGCCAAACTGGCTTGTTGGGAGTGAACTCACGCTGGATTCGTGTCAGTTGAAACTTGTAGAACCGTATGTTGTCTGAGTCGCTTCTCAAAGGACAAATCCCAGCTGTCGTCCACGGTGGGAACTTCTCTGGGCATAACATGCTGCGGCAGCTTCATCAGTAGGCTGCGCCGCAATGGCTGATTGTGAATGGTACCCCTGGTTTCCTCACGTTCTCGCAGATGCTCTTAGATCGACATCGGTAAAGGTATCGAGTGAGACGAAGGCATCCAATCCTTGATCATTCAATGCTGTCCTCGTGGCTAATTCGGCAATACCGATGGTATTCTGTAGATAGTTGTTCATGGCTGCAAGATTGCCTGCCATATTCGCCTCCAATTACTTCTTCTCTTGCGGTATCACTTGGATGAGCAACAGTTGTTGGGTCTTCTTCTCTGCTCCTATTCCAACAGCAAACTGTACACACCCAGACAAGTAAGGCTGTATTCCACGGAATGAGCTCTGCACACCCAGTCTGTGGCAGTCTAGGCCAAAACTCTTGGATCAGGCGTCCCCTCTCCTTTGGCTCAATCGATTTCTTTGGTGACAATGAGGCAGGAATTGATCCAGACTGGAGGGATCAATATTCCAAGTCCAAACCTCTGCTTCCCACTTGGAAGTCTCTATCTCTCGCTCCACTTGAGAGTGCCCCTTCTTCTTGAGAGGTCTTCTGTTGCTATGCCGCTTGGAGGTCTTCTCTTCTTCTCTTGTTCCTCTGCCGATTACACTGGCAATGAGGATCTCTTCTTCTTCTTGTCGTTCTGTAGCTCCGAAACGGTAGCTTCGAATCGGCGACAATGGCGCTGCTTCGAATGAACGAACGGATGAACCGTTTGGTTAACAGGCTCCTTCTTCTTCTTCTTTCTTCTCGATCACAACGACAATGGGATATGACCGTCGCTTCGAACGAACGGTAGCGTCGTCGTCTTCTTCTCGTCGTCGTTCGAACAGTAGCTTCGAACGTATCTTCTTCTTGTGCTTGTCGAACGGCCGATCTCTTCTATCGATCGCTAGCTAGGGTAGTAGCTTCCACGCCTGATAAGCCGAAAAAGGCTGATGGTGGTGATAAAGAGGTTGCTATAGAGTTGTGTTACTACTTGGTTGTTGTGGTTGTGGTTGATTTTAGTAATCTGGTAATCTGGTAACTGGATAGTCATAAATCGCTACCACAGGTCATTTTCGACTGGTCACCATTAAAATTTTTAGGTGACCTAATCAAGCATTCGCGTGGATCTTTGCAATTCGCGTTTTCCGGTGGCTCGCACCCTGAAAGCTTCAGACTGCTCTTCAACTCCTCTGCTCTCATCACAACTTCCTAACATCTACTAGCTAGTATGTAAATAGCGCTCAGAAGTGAAAAAGTGGAATCTAATTCGTTCGTTGACCATGGAGGGAGATAAAGCAGAGGCGAGAGCGTCCGGTACAATGGAGCCAAGAGAGCCGTCATCTGAAGACAATGCAGGCGCAGGGGATACATCAGAAGATGTCCGCGTTGTTAATTTGGAAGAACTGGAGCGTGATATCCTGAGCTTAATGGAGCGAGGAGGGGACCAAAACGAGGCGCTGAAGCTTGAAATCCAGGGCTTGATGCTGAAGCATAAAGGACTTGGTCCCCCCTCGGTGATGGTGTCCAACGACGAAGTGATTGCCAACAAGATGGCCAAGGCAACCGCTCGGCCGATAAATAATCGGCAAGATGCACCGAGCAATGTGGAACCGGCTTCGATTGGGAACGATCGGGAAAATAGTCGTCCTGAAGTTCGGCAAAGACCAAACGGTAACGTTTTGACACCCGCTTCTTTGCAACGGCTACCCACCGACATGATGCCCCAGCCAATGCCAGCTCCCGACCTTGGGAGGAATCAAAACGCTCGTACCACTATACCCGGGGCCTATCCCATGACTACACCCAATGGCCCTGCTGGGGAACAGGAGGATATATCATCGCAACAAGATCCAACACCGTGGGACATCACTGGATCGGTCCCAAACGACGATGCGAATGCTGGCAACCAAGGAGAATCCAATGACGCCGATTTGGCTGTGGCAGACCCTGTCCCTTTTCAGGGGACGCTTGTGAGCGATGACGACGATCAGGAGGCAAGTGCCCATTTTGTCATCATGGCAAAGCCATTGGGATTCCTTTCCAGGTGGCAGAAACCAATTATTGCTTGTGCCATTCTAGCCATTATTATTGGACTTGTGGTGGGTATTACCTGTGGGTCAGGAGCTTGCTCAGAAGGAAAAGTTCAGCTTGTCACGCAGTCTCCAACAGCTGCTCCGACAGGATCTCCTACGGCGTCACCCACTGCCAATATTTTGGGCACTCTCCCCCAATACACATTGAACGCCCTCGCGGACCCTACCACCAATCAATCTCTCGCCTATCAATGGGTCCTAGGCGACCCAGACCATCAGACTTACTCAGAGTATCGATTGATGCAGAGGTTTGTGCTGGCCATGCTCTACGCTTCGAGGAATGGAACGCTGCCTGACTATGGCTCAAATGAGTGCTTTTGGTTTGACGTCAACGCCACCAAACTTGATCAAATGGATCCATCGTATACCGACGAAGCATGCGCACAAGACGGCACAATCGAGCTTCTGGTCCCTTTGCACGGCAGTGTGCGAGGGAAAATTCCGCCAGAGATGGGACTCGTGACGTAAGTGACTCTTGAAGGAACTATGGAGTACTGTATGGCGTTCCTACATGTACAATGATCAGCTGCTTATTCAAGCGTTCCTTTTCCTGCAGTTCACTCCTCGCGATTGATCTCTCCGACCAGGAGATTAGTGGAACCATCCCGTCTTCAATTGGCGACCTAACCCTTCTCCGCGATCTCAACCTCGACAATCTGGAACTTTCGTCAACACTGCCTACTGAACTTGGCAACTTAGCTTCGCTCCGCCGTTTCCAGATGTTTGATGGCAGCATCACTGGGGAAATTCCTTCAGAGCTGGGAAGAGCTTCGGGGCTCGTCCTTTTCAATTTGACAGACGGTGATCTTGAAGGCAGAGTCCCCTCAGAGATTGGGTTGCTCACGAATCTTTTTTACCTAGATCTGACCCGAAACGAGTTGAATTCCACAGTGCCCACGGAGATTGGGCAATGCCAATGTAAGTTCTGCCATGTTGCACTCCTTGAAGCACGGTACCGTTCGATTTGTACTTATCAGTGTGCGTATCCATAGCATTGGCTTCATTGAACATTAGTTGGAACGATCTCACAGGCGCGATACCGAGTGAGATCGGCCACCTGTCCAACCTTGTTGACTTCCAAATCTTCCAAAACGATCTGAGCTCCAGCATCCCTACAGAGATCGGGGAGTTGTCAAGCATACAAGTTTTCAATGTCGAGAACAACCGAAGAATGGAGCTTGGGATCCCAACGGAGATTGGCATGCTAAGCAGTAAGTTCCTGCGCACTGTGAACACGGGTTAACATTCTTGCATTGCCTCCTCATTCCTCCTACAATGGCCGCCTTTGTTGCCCTTGACAGCTTTGAAAGAATTCCATATCATTGACAATAACAACATGTATGGATCCATTCCCAGCGAGATTGCCAGATGCTCCAACTTGGAAATATTCAGGTGCGTGAAGACAAAGCTTCGGCATGCAATCTTCTAGTCACACTGAAACGGAATTCACCACCTCCTCTGCGCTACTAACTTCATGCAACAGAGCGAGAGAAACCAAGCTGTCTTTCACCATTCCGAGCGAGATTGGCCTGCTGAAGAAGCTAACATTTTTTGACATGTTGCACACTGCAATCTTTGGGACAATTCCAACTGAAGTTGGTGTGATGAAGTGTAAGGGCTTCTTTTGCCGTTCCACATTTTCGCTTCTGAGCATGGCAACTCAACTGTTTCACGACCCCAACCCTCGTTTACGCAGCCTTGGTGAATTTCAATACCCGAGACACTACAATCACGGGCCCGATTCCATCAACACTTGGGTTGCTAAAAGGTGAGAATGCCCCGAGTCGAGTCAAAAGGAAAGCTGGGCATCGGTACCAACTAGCTAGCTCGACTAACTGTCCACTACTTCTTTCCACTCAGACTTGAACGAGCTTGACATCATCTCTTCTCTGATGACAGGAACAATCCCAACGGAGTTGGCATTGACCAAACTAACTCGGCTCAGCTGCGTGAGAAACTTCTTCTCAGGAACCCTTCCAAGTGAGCTCGGAGTCTTGACGGATATGAGTGTAGGTACACGCGTCCGGACCCATGCCCGCCCCTCTTCCGCAAACGCTGACCTGATCACCGCTTCCTCGTGCTTTAAAACCAGGACTTCAACTTTGAAAACAATTTACTCACAGGAAGACTGCCTTCGGAGCTTGGCAGATACTCGAGTAGTAAGTTGGAATGTGCAACTTGTGTTGGTTCTTTCGTCCCCGAGGATCCTCCCACTGACGCGTGAGTTTGGTTTCCACAATTTTTTGCACCAGATTTGGATTTCCTTGTTTTGCATTTCAATTCACTGACTGGGTCTATTCCGTCCGAGTATGGTTTAATGACAACTGCCAAGAAAATACAGTTGCACACCAATCTGCTAACGGGCGAAATCCCCGATTTCTCTAACTTTACCGACCGGCTGGAGAAGATTGAGCTGAGCAGGAACATCAACCTGACCGGATCGTTTCCTGACAACGTGTGTGGAATTCGAGAGCTTTCATTCAGCTGCGACCCCGACGTGCTTTGTGGCTGTTGGTGTCCTTGCAACTAATAACTAGTTAGCCAGAAAGGGCTGACATTTATGCATTGAGCATTGGTACCCACTACATGTAGTAGGCCGCCTCCTCTGTTTGATGTTGCGTGCCACAGCTGCATGCATCCAAAAATTAGACTACAGACATGTCTATAATCGCATCTAGCTAGCTTAGCAGAATGGTTGGGTGTGGCCGTTCTAGGCAGTTCCGACAGTGTCCTTGGCGTCAAAGGTGAACCCAGCACCACTTTCTTTCCTGGTGTACCGGACCTCTCGGTAGTCATCAGGGCCAGCTGGGAAGGCTCCCTTGCGATTGTTTGTGGAGTGGTCATAAATCATCTACGAGTGGCAGCAACGTAGAGGAAGAAACAAAAAGTCAGTAAGCAAAAAAGCACATCACAACAAATTTCGTCGCTGGTCCCAGATAACAACGGTAGGCCCTTTACGTACCTGATTGGTCGCAATGTAGTCCTCCACAGATTGATCATAGACACCCGCCAGTTTGGCCATTTGTCGACAGTAGTCCCATTGCTGTGCTCCCAGATAATGTGTATCTTGGATCCGGCCATTTTGTGGTCCCTTGGCACCTCCCGACACGGCATCCCGTTCGGCCGCTTGGAGTCGTTCTTCGAGCGGTGGAAGTTGATTGTTGTGGACCGTGTATTGGGCATGTACCGCTTCGGCTTGGAACTCGACTTCGGGAAAGGGTACCACACTGTGTGGAATGCCCAAAAAAGATACCGTAGGATACCGTGCATGCCACAGCTGTTCGTAAAGTGGCATGACCCGTCGTTCTCCCGGAACACACTGGACTGGTTCATCATCATTGTTGTCATTGTTGTTGTTGAGAAAGGGGAAATCATAGTCGTATCCCGTGCAGAAAATGATACAATCCACCGTGGGAAAGAGTGTATTGCAATTTTGAAACTGCGCGGTTCCGTCTTCTTGAATTCCCACCGTCAATGGCACCCAGGTGATATTATCGAGTGTCTCGGGAGTGCCATCGGACAGCGTACAAGTGGAATCCGACAGATAGACGTGTTGGGCATGCGCCCCAATTTCGCGTGCCAAATCCGATCCACTGGCACGTCCTCCAATGCACAAGACGCGTTGTCCGACAAAATCAGCGGGATTGTCGTATTCGACGGAATGCAGTATTCGCCCTTGATAATACTCGTGCAATCCTTGTAGTGGGGGAAATGCCGGTTTGGAATAATGGCCATTGCAAATGCAGACAGCGTCGAATATTTCGGATTCTTCTTCATTATTGTTGTTGTGTTTCCATGCGAGCCGTATTTGGGGCCAATCTTCTTCACTGCTAGTGGTGGGCGAGAGCGCCGACTTGCTGTCTTTCAAGACTTGCAATTGCGACACTTGACAACCGTACCGAATGAATTTGTCAAGTCCAAACTGTGTCTGATATTCCAACAAGTATTCTTGGACTTGTTGATGCGTCACAAAACTTCTATCGAGTGGCATTTTCCACGGAAATTCTCGAAATTGCATAATTTCCTTGGGGAGATTGGTGCGGAGTCCTCGATACATGGGTTTGGTTTTTTTCGTATTGGCTTGTTGCTTCGTTTGATAACACCAGACCCCGCCACTCTGGGATTCCTGTTCCAATACGACAGGTTCCATGCCATGCCGCGAAAAGACTTGTGCCGCGGCCAATCCCGACGATCCAGCTCCGATAATGGCCACCTTCGGTGCCATGGGGGACACAGAGGACATGATGATGGATAGTAATAATACTAGAAACAAGAATGATCTGGCCTTGGATGATACTGACTGGGATAATGATGGTACGTGCATGCCCAAGGTAGGTTGGGAAGCGAACATGAGAGGAGTGGAGTACTAAATGGAACTCTCACGAAAAAAGAGTGTGATTGAGATTGGATTCCACTGGACGCACTCGACTCGACTTGCCAGTCTTTCCCTCTGCTGGCAACAGATGGAGTGGCAATGGTCTATGCAGACAGATGAGGACGTATGCTTTGTGTATCATCGGCAGTTTGAGTGGTTCCAACAAGGATCTTCCCGTCCACAAAGGGTATCTTTTGTGTGGCTTGGGAAGGGTCCACTGCTTCCGGAATCGAGAAGGAACTACGTGTGCTGAGGGTATCATTTGGTTGGGTATGCCTCATGCTGAATTTTACTACGTATAATATGCAACCATTTTATACCCCTAATGTAAGAACCTAGAACCTTCGAGAAGATATTGAAAACGCGAACTGGAATGGTCACACTGGATACCATTCTGGACAACAAGCCAAATTCACAGCCATCACTTACTTTGCTTGTTGTCTTCATCACAATTGCAACACTTTTTTTAGTTGGTGTGTTTCTACCTCCCATTATCTCACACACTCTTTCTTAAACAAATCTTATACCAACCAACCATCTACCATGTCGCTAGAATTGAAAAAGCCCAACTTGATCGAATCCATTGTGCTTGGAGGAGCAAGCTGTATCTTCACAGTCAACTTTACCCATCCCATTGGTGAGTGTATGGAAGATTCCTTCGATTCGATTCGTCGAGATAATGAAGCCATGTTGAATGAATCGAATCTCACAATTGTTATCTACCATACTACCCCTTTTTTTCATTCATGCATTCATTGCAGAAACCGTCAAGACTCGCATGCAAGTGACGGGAAATGGTTTGGGAACCGTCGTCAGCTCTCTTGTCAAAACCGAAGGAGTCACTGCCTTTTGGAAGGGCATTGCCTTTGCATGGGGTCGTGAGGGATCTTATGCTTCCATCAAATTGGGCGCTTACGGGGTATGTTACATTTTGATCATTCAGTATGACAAGAAAGATCCTTTTGGTCACCACTGACTGGCTAACAATCTGCTCCATTTATTCTCTTCCTGCTACCTTTTTCTTATAATATTAATATTATAGCCCGTCCGTGATGCCCTTGGTGCTGGAAAGGATGCTCCCTTTTACATGAAGTTTTTGGCCGGCGCCATTACTGGAGGTACCGGATCCGTCATTGGAAATCCATTTGATGTCATGAAAACTTTGGCACAGGCCAACAAGGAAAAATCAGCACCTCTCATGACATTGGTCGGAAACATGTACCGTGATCAGGGTGTTGCTGGGTTCTACCGTGGTGTGGGAGCCAATGTCGCCCGTGCATGCGTCTTGAATGCCACCAAAATGGCATGCTACGATATTGCCAAAGGATGTACGTTGTTGTGCCACGAAACGAAAAAACTACGAAACAAAACGACTCTTTTGTTTGTTTATTTGGACAAAGCTAACAGCATCTTTTTCTTCCAATGCCCTTTTTTAGACGTTGTCGACGCCACCGGATGGGGACGAAAGGACCCTCGTACCGTCTTTGCTTCTGGTATGGTCGCTGGAATTGTGAGTGAAAAATTCTCAATTGATTCTGTTTGGATTGTGCATAATTGATTGCTTGTCGCCATGGGAACTCATCTATCTATATTGACCGTTTCTATATTTTTTCTCTGCAAAACAGTGCATGACTGTCACCGTCTCTCCCTTTGACCGTATCCGTACGTCTCTCATGAATCAACCCACCGACAAAAAACTCTACACTGGATTCGTCGACTGCTTTGTCAAGACCATCCAAGCCGATGGTCCAACATCCTTGTGGAGAGGATTCATCCCCATTTGGGCACGATTTGCCCCCACTGCCACCATTCAACTGTTGACTCTGGAGACCCTCTACTCGTACTTTGGATACGCCAGTCTCTAAACGAACATACAACATCATTGGATGTATGTTGTGTTTTGCCGGTGCGCGGCGAGAGAAAACCACAATGGAGAATTATTGGAGATGAGGACGTGCATGAAGCAGAGCGTGGGGAATTGATTGATTGATTCGATTCAGTTGGCTTCAACGGCCTCCATGCTTTTGAACGAGAATTCTTGTCCACTTGACCTGGCGCAATCATTTTAGCAAGAACGGAGTAGAGAAGAATTGCCGGTGTAGATGTTGTATAGCCGAGTGAGTAGAACTGATACATGAACATAAGAAAACGTAGGAATAACCAATCGACTGTTTACATGTACTGCCAATGCAACTTTATCAATCAAGAGTCCATCCACCAACCCGCCCATGACAGGTACTACCATCGTTGTTTATTGGAAGTGCTCAATGTAACCTGTGGCCATTGTTGAGCCTTGTCTTGCCATTCTTGTCTTTTTAAAATCATGGGGTAGACAGCTGTATTGGACCCCCTAGCACTCCCGCGGCTGGATGGATCACACTGGATACAAGTTACTCAGTACTAGTAGCTGGAAGAAAGATTGATCAATACGGTACCATGGTCGTCAACCCATCGATTTTCCTTTCAACAATCAACGCTCCAACATTGCAATGACCATGCTCAGATGGATAACGCACCCTGGCAACAATCCACCATAGCTCCGTCCGAACATGTTTGGTAACTCTGCGGACTGAATTGCAGAAGGAATTTGGAACTTCAACTAAGAAAAATGTTTGTTGCCACACAGCATCGACGAAATCGATGCCACCTGGAAGGAACCCAACTGATGTCATCGCGAAGCTTCAACTTGGAGGTTGTCTTTCAGTATCTTTTGACGCGCTCCATCTTCCTTCCACAATCTATCCACCAGTCGGTTTTCTAATATTCTATCACCACCATGAAGTTCACAGTCGCTGCCTCCCTTCTTGCCCTTGGCACTGCCTCCGCCTTTGTCCCTCCTCAGGCTTATGGACGCACCAGTGATGTTGTCCGATCTATGGCCGCCACAGAGACTTCTGTTTACACTTTTGAAAAGAGTGAAGAAATCTTTGCTGAGGCTCAAACTGTGAGTAAGATTGTGATTTTCTGATTGCCAATTTTGCCTTCCCATCTCACCCTGCATTCTATCTTACTATTATTCCTTTTTAGTTGATGCCCGGTGGAGTCTCTTCTCCCGTCCGTGCTTTCAAGTCCGTCGGTGGAAACCCTGTTGTCTTTGACAAGGTCAAGGGAGCCTATGCCTGGGATGTTGATGGCAACAAGTACATTGATTACGTAGGAACCTGGGGACCCGCCATTCTTGGACACGCTGATGATGATGTCCTGGAGGCTGTCAAAGCCACAATGGAAAAGGGAACATCCTTTGGTGCCCCCTGCCCTTTGGAAAATGAACTCGCTAAAATGGTCATTGATGCCGTCCCTTCCGTAGAAATGGTCCGTTTCACAAACTCTGGTACCGAAGCTTGCATGGGAATGATCCGTCTTGTCCGAGCATACACCGACCGAGAAAAGGTTATCAAATTCGAAGGATGCTACCATGGACATGCTGATTCTTTCCTGGTCCAAGCTGGATCCGGTGTTGCCACCCTTGGATTGCCCGATTCTCCCGGTGTTCCTGCCTCTGCCACCAAGGCCACATTCTGTGCCGAATACAACAACTTGGAAAGCGTAAAAGCTATCTTGGAGGACAACAAGGACGAAATTGCCGCCATCATTTTGGAACCCGTTGTTGGAAACTCTGGTTTCATCAAACCCGACAAGGCATTCTTGGAAGGACTGCGAGAATTGGCCACTGACAATGGAGCTCTCTTGGTATTCGACGAAGTCATGACCGGATTCCGAGTTGCCTATGGAGGCGCCCAAGAATACTTTGGAGTCACACCCGATGTCACTACCATGGGTAAGGTCATTGAGGAGGTCTCCCCGTTGGTGCTACGGTGGACGCAAGGATATCATGGAATGGGTCGCACCTGCTGGACCCATGTACCAAGCTGGAACCCTCAGTGGAAATCCTTTGGCCATGACTGCCGGAATTGAAACCATGAAGAAACTCAAGAAGGATGGTGTCTACGAAGAGTTGGAACGCAAGTCCCAAAAACTGGTTGATGGTATCTGCGCTGCTGCCAAAGAGCACGGACACGCCATCTGTGGAGGTACTGCTGGAGGTATGTTCGGATGGTATTTTACCGAGGGACCCGTCAAGAACTTCCAAGAAGCTACCAAGGCTGATGGAGAGAAATTTGGCAAGTGGCACCGGATGATGTTGGAGCGAGGAGTGTACTTGGCACCTTCCATGTACGAAGCTGGATTCATGTCCTTGTCACACACAGATGAAGATATTGAAAAGACAATTGCCATTGCTGATGAAGTGCTTTCCAAGCTGTAAACAATCTTATACCAAAATCCAACATTTATAAAACAAAATCAACTCCAGCACAGCTCTTCAGGAAACAAAGCATCGTTTTAGCTAGCGGTGTTGGCAAGTTTCCGGTGCAGGCAAGTGGCAGGAAAGCGAGCTCGGACAGATCGCGTACTCATAGTCGTCTAAAACCGGAGCTAAGCCGTACCAGGTGCAAGTGGAGTGGTATCAAGCAGGCACATGAAGCACGGATTCAATGAATGGTACGAACGTTTGAGTCAAAGAAACGAGGGATGGTATCCGCTGCGGATTGTTTCTCAAGCTAGAAAACTTTGTTGTTGAGTGGAAATCTCCACAACGAAATAGAGAGGTCATGCCCAGTATACGGTACATATACCGAAGCATGCCGAAGCTTCTGCTTCATACTGCGTTCTATGACAAAACGGGAATTACGGAATTACAGAGTGGTGTCGACTTTTTATCTATTCTATCCTCTCGTTGGGAGCGCCAACAACGAGCTACGTTCCTTCATCAAGGCCTGTTGCTTGGTCAAGAGTTGCTGGACTGCTGGAATGACCTCTTCGGCTGGCTTTGTTGTTTGTGCCACTACTTCAGTATTGGTATTTCGCCCCCGCGATCGGGATCGTCGACGACGACTGCCACCACTCGCCATGGCACTGGGTGGAAAAAAGGCATCGAGCAATTGTTCCATATCGCGAGTGTCGTCGAGTTTGCGTCGATATGCCTGGAGGGCTTCTTGTTTGTCGTGATCGTTCCCAAACGCGGCACTCAAATCTTCGGTAATGCCCGCCAGGAGCGGGACCAACGATTGTTGTTGTTGTTGTTGCCGAGTGTTTTGGACTTGAGTTTGGGCCGCGTCCAAGGAATCGGCACACGTGTCGTTGTTGTTGTTATTGTCGCGATTGTTGTTGTGAAGAAACGAACTAGCGGGGGACTCCAACACGACTTCCATGGATCGCAGTCCCAATATGCTCCGATTCAAGGCATCCCGTTGTCGTCGCACTTTGCGTACCGTATTATGGTCTTGCAGGGCTTCCGTTTTGGGCACGCCCTTGAACTTTTTGTGGTGGTTGTGGTGCGAGGCAGACGACGAACTACTCGTGTGAATATCGCGTTGTCCCGTTTCATTATTGCTGAGACTGCTGCTGGTACAGGGAGACCATGCTGCGGACGATGTGCCACTTTGAAGAAGTTGATGGAGCGATTTTTCGAGTGTCTGCAGGGATTCCACGGCGGCTTGTTTCCATTCGTCTCGCGAAGTATTATCCGAATCCGAAGAGACTGGTTTGGTGGGGGAGGGTGTATGGAGTGGAAAGATGCGCCAGAGGCAGGTGGAAAAGGTCAAGAGGAGACAGGGTGGTAGATTATTATTATTGCTTTGGTCGTGAAGCACCAATTCGGTCGTCACCAATTGCTTGGGATCCACTTGGAAAACTCCTTCTTTATCGACACGCACATGGAGAAAGAGCGGCCATGACTCGAATAATCGGGTAGATGGCGTGGCGCGTGGATGATGACGGGGTGTGCTTCGCAAAGACGCCGGTGTGGACGATTGCTGTGTGGTAGTATTTCCGACAAACAGAACCCGTCCTTGGAGCACCGAAGTATCATCTTGACTGCTACCGTCATTGGTGGCTGTTGTTGTTGTTGTCATGACGGTTGTGCCTAGTGAAGATTCTACCGCTACTTGAATATCGGCCATGGCAGGATCAAACCCCTTTTTGCCGTAGAAATTCTCTGTTCGTCCAAAAAACGACGGCTGGATAATGACATCGCCATGGCCGCTAGTACTCAGAGGCTCCAGCGAGAGCTTGAATTTGTAAGTAGTATTGGCTGGCACCAAGAGGGTTTCCATTTTGGAAGTGGGTTCCTTCGTGTTGTTGTTGTTGTTGTTGTTGTTGTTGTTGTTGTTGCTGTTGGAAGACGACGAGGGACGGGGAGGCCATGCCCCAGAAGGACACGGGATCAGAAAGGGCAAAGACGACAAGAAGCCTTGGCGGTCCATGGTTACAATACTATAGTAGCAGAATAATGAAGATAATAAATATAATGAAGGAGACAACGAGTGCTTTACTTTTCAGGTTCCGAGTGGCTCGGCAGCAACTTTGGTCGGGAGCAACTTCGGTGACCAAAATATGGACTCTCACTTGCTCATTGGCCCATTTTCCCGCCATTGAAGATTTACCGTCCAATTTTCCCGCCATGGAAGACTTAAAAGTCGTGTAAGCTGCCTTCTTGTTACAATAAATCTGTTGTAAACACGTTGTGTGCGAGGGTTTCGTCACTTCCAACAGAACTCCAACACCCTCATCACACTTTCAAAACAAGCAAGGTGTGACAGCTCTATCGACGTGCACGTCCCAAGCTACCAAACAGCACGCTCTCATAATAGTCTCTATCTGTCTTTCTCTGCTGCTGTTGTACTCTAGAGCTAGGAAGATGACAACTGTAGCAACCCCCTACGGCGCCGATGGTGCTGAAATGCTTGATGATGGTGAGATTGGGGTGGCAACTACACCATCTAGCCAGCTAGCTATGGTTATTCACGTTTATACCCCATGGGGTTGTCGGCTCACAATTTTTTGTTTCTGGTGTCGTTTTACTTTTATAAAAGCCCGAGTAAAAGAACTGCTGAATCAAGGTTTCTCTTTTGGTTTGATCAAGGCGTTACAGTCCAACAAAGAGTGCTTTCATTATCGAATATGGATTGTCGATAACAGTGGTTCCATGGCCATTGGGGATGGACGGACATTTGCATTGACTAGCAAGGGTAAAATTGAAGCTCGCTATGTCACCCGCTGGGAAGAAATTCAAGAAACCGTCCTCTATCATGCCGAATTGGCCGGGACGCTCGGCATGACGACCAATTTTCGACTCCTCAATCCGGTCAATAATGAACCCGATGAATTCACCGTATTTGCCAATGGACACGATGGTGTCAATCAAGAATTACGACGCGGTCGGAATGTCATTAATCGAGCCAAACCTACTGGTGTCACGCCACTGACGGCACACATTCTTCATATTGAACAGCAAATTCAAGAAATTGCCGATAGTCTCCGAGAACGAGGGCAGAGAGTGAGTATTGATTTTATTGTCAGTTCAGTTCAGTTAAGTTCTGGCTCGTATCTAACAACTTGCCACTCGTTCTCTTCTTTCATCTTACAGATAACTGTTGTATTGGCAACAGATGGGTAAGACATGTCCGGAAATGGTGTCATCACCGTCCAATCAATCACACTCTTCGTATACCCCCTCCCCTGTCTGGACTAACCAACGACATCTATCTATTGTTGACTTCATCTCTCTCTGTTTGCTTTTCTTACTACTTACAGACTACCAACCGATGACGAGGGCGGGGAGAGCGAGGAAGTATTCCAAGACTTTATCTCGGCCTTGCGAATGCTGGAGGGATTGCCGGTATGGGTCGTCATTCGATTGTGTACCAATGAAAAGAAGGTCACCGAGTTTTATAATCAAATTGATGAAGTGCTAGAGTTCAACCTAGAAGTCCTGGATGATTATCTGGATGAAGCAAAGGAGGTTTACAAACACAACAAATGGCTCAATTATGCATTGCCCATGCATCGATGCCGTGAATTGGGGTATCATGACAGACTCTTTGATTTGCTTGGTGCGTAACTACTACAGTGCTCGTCGTGTGGCTGTCTGTTGGTTTGATTGATCTTGATATTGGATGCATGCATGAATGGACGGCAAGACAAACACTCACAAAACACAATCTACTTGTATACACTAGACGAGAGAAGACTGGGTATTGACGAACTGAGGAGTTTCTTTTCGCTGCTATTTGGAACCGAGCTCCATCGCATACCAGATCCCACAGTCGAATGGAAGACGTTTCTGCAGTTTGTGCAGGATTCACTGGAGCGGGAAAAGGTGCAATGGGACCCAGTAAAAAAGAAGTCACTGCCGTGGGTGAATCTCAAGCTGTTGAACAAGTGCTATGGCAAAGGTACCTGCAGTGTCATGTAACTATCTTACTTGTTTGTGAGTGATGCGGTGGCTCTCCATCCGTCATTCGATTGGTGAAAAACGACAAAACCTTTGGACGGCTGAATGCCTCTAGCTAGTTGTGACAACAGTACAACCGGTATGGTACAGCGAGGGGGGAGCGGGGCATTCCAAGCTTCCCATCTGATTGAAAGACCTGTAGATCAATGTTGTTGTAGGTGTGGAGTGTTTGACAGATGTAATATGATGTGTAGTTTTGGAACATGGCTAGCGTCAGTGCTACCGTACGCATCTGCCTCCGGCATTCTCGTCGTGGAAGAGCAGCGCCAATTCCACCAATTATGCTCGCAACTGGACTACTCCAGAGTGCCTACCTTGGTACCAGTATCATGGCGCTTTACCGCGAACGAAAACAATAAATAACACTAGAGCTATATGGCTTGGTGCAGGGCGGCGAAAAATCCCAAGCAGAAGCAAGCAGTGGGTTGTTGGATGTCACTTGGGTATCTATACTTGTACTTTTACACCTCTGTCGGAAGCATGTAATGATACAATTTGGACGGCTCTTCTCCGTGTTGTTCCTTCATTCGATCCACCAACTCTGACTTTTCCAACCATGCAAAATCCTTGACAAAAATATCCTCCTGTGATAAGGTCCCCTCGTCATATTGCACCGGCATGAAAAATGTCTTGGTTCCAAAATACCCATCGCCTTGTTCCTCCCCCTCAAAGACTTGCACATCGACAGCCATGGGACAGTTGGAAGCATACCAAACATCCAATCCATCGCCTACCTTATCGGAAATGGCTCGTTTGGCAGTCTGCAGCAAGGTTTCACCATCCTCGACGGCAACCGTTGGCAATTGCCACACTTCGTCTCCCGAGGGTGCTGTATCTTTGACAGCTAAAAAGACACGAGTTTTCAGTCTCCGATCCAACGTCCGGACATCGCCATTGAGGTCTGCTTCGGTTTCGCGGGGAGCAGGGACAAATCCACGGGGAAGATGGTTCTCTATAAAATACCGGTAGTTTCAAAGCAAAGAAAAAGGCACGGGAAATGGTGAGAGACACGTCCCACAATATCATCAAGATATGCAAACATCTAACCAGCTAGCTACACTGTAGTCAGCCAACAATAAACAACCCAAAACCAAAATTACGTACCAAGAAATGCTTCATCCGTCAAGTCTTCAATTTCCATAATCTCGTCCTGTTTGCCAAAAAGCCACTCGGGATAATCTCTTCCAAACTGATCGAGATAAGTCCGCAACACTTCATAGTCGCCTTCCCATTGTGGCTTGTCGGGTAGCACTACCGGCAATCGCTCCAAGAGAACTGCCACTTGCAATTTCCATTCCATACCCACTCGTTTGGCTTGTCGGTTGGAATAGGCTTCCATCGCTTGCTTGGGTTTGAACCAGGATTCGAATTGCTTCCTCCGAGCGTGCTTGGGTTTGCCGTCACGACGACGTTCGACTTTTGCCTTGTTGGCTTGTTGTTTCGCGTATTGTTCCGTCCGAAAGCGTTTGGAAGCTTTCTTCTCCTTCCAGTAGGCTTCGTGGGTCGACGACGAGAACGATCGAGTGACTGGCAGCATGATGTTTAGTGGATTATTATTGACCGCCTGTGTGGAAGAGCTGGTCAACAGCTGTCGCTTCACGCCTTCCACTGTCGTTGCATAGCGAGCTGGAGCAGTCCTCATGAGTGCAGTTCTGGTAATGGACGCCATCGTAAGGTAGACTCTACCGGTACTCTTGATACGGTAAAAGATACAAGGGTGTTGTGTGGTTGGTGATTGTCGACCTTCCGATAAAGAATAATAATAATAATATTGCTTTTATTAAAAAGGAGATAGATGAAAACATGTATTTCTAAAAACACACCCTCTCACTTATCGGGACCGTTGGCCCCAGGTTTAACCGGAGCGAAGCGATGGTTAAACCGTGGGGGCAGGTCTCATAAGTGAGGTGGTGTGTACTAGAGGCAATACACTGATGGGCGGTGCAGACAGTAATTAAAGCGGTTATTTTGATATTTAAGCAGGTTATTTTGGTCACTTAGAGCGGTGTCCGTTAAGTAACATGTGGTTGTTAAGTAATTCAAATCATTTCAAACGACTCCTTTCAACTTCTGTAAAACAGCGCTGGCTTATTATTACACTATGCCTCTCTCATAGCACAGCCTCAATATCTGGTGCACCATTTACTCTCAACACTCGACAAAAGGAAGAGGTTGTCGCGATAATAACCAGTGATTAGTAACCAGTGAGGAGTGTACCATATCGAACTCCCTGCCTCAAACACTCTGCTGCCGTCGTGGTGGTGGTGGTTGATTGTTGACACTATGGTTCTGACCCGTGGCAATGCTAAGATCAAGACCAAAGGTGCCGTAAATCTCTTTGTTCGCAATTGGCCGGCATTGCAGAGGACACTGAGAATTGAGAGTTGGAGTTGACTCAGCGACCCATCGAGGCAGTGGAAGAAGAAGATGAAGAAGAAGATGATGATGATGAAGAAGAAGAAGAAGAAGAGACAGCAGAAGCGACTGCCAAGCCAAAGGAAGACTTCCAATACACCTACCAAGCATCGTCACAGTCATCGGATGAAGAAGAAGATGAACAGGTTGAGTCAACGCCTCTCCAACTTCTTCCCGACAGCATCGATGAAGAGTCAGACTCCAGTCGCAAGAGAAAGTCACCTGAAATGTATGGGACTGTATTCTCTGTTCAACCACCAGTCACTGATACTGATAGATGAAAGACACGTGCCGAATCAGTCAATGAGCAAGTGGAGAAAGGAGAAGCTGTAGTGCTTGCTACTGCTGCTTGCCAACCATTTCATCCCTTTCAGCGTCTTGTACAGCAAGTCAAGTTTGAGAATGGAGTAGAAGACTGGAACTCTGTCGAGAACAGAGAAGAAGCTGAATTCGATGGATCCTCAGTCGCTGATCCAAAAGAAAATAGAGCCAAACGTCGGAGAGAAGAAGCCCAAAACAAGAGATCCAACAAACCTGATAAAGCTCAAAAAGATTCCCGACTTGCCCATCTTGCTTTTGATAGAGACTTGCAAGAACAAAATCGCGCTTTCGGGGAAACTGGTGAAGGCATTGGTCACTTTGGATCGAAAGGAAACCAACCACCGAACACTCAACAACAAACACAAACACAACTTCCTCGTGCCATGAGTACCAATCCCTTCAAGAAAGCCAAGAAGTCACAGCCTCGGAAGCTTCCGACTCAGGCACAAAGAAAGGCGCCACCGGCTCAAGCGCAGAGAAAGAAGGCACCACCGAATGCGACTCGCATCAATCCTCCTCCCTTCTTGTCTCAACAGCAAATCAATAGTGAACTTCAGTCGACATGAGTTGTTTGATTGAGTTGATTGAGTTGTTTGATTGAGTTGATTGAGTTGTTTGATTGAGTTGTTTGATTGAGTTGCTTGAGTTGATTGAGTTGCTTGAGTTATTTGATTGAGTTGATTGAGTTGCTTGAGTTGCTTGAGTTGAAGAAGTCATCGATCAATCCGTCGCTATGAATTACAGGGCAAGAGCTCTAGATTCGTAGAAGCAGCACTAAGGCAGCTTGCTGGCTTATTACCATAGCCTTGCAGTAGATCTTAGAGAACATCCTGTGTGGTCTAGTAGGCTAGGGTAAATAGCCGCGATTCAACCATTCCAACAGCAGTGGTTGAATAGTACCAGCTAGGGCAACTGGTGGCATTGTAGAGGCAACCAATGGAGTGGCATTGGGCAGCTGGTCGTTGTTGGCTGTGACTCGCAAAGGACGAGTAACAGGCGACTCCCCACTGTCTTGATTCGAAGACGGGGGGTGGTTGGCCCTAGAAGTAGCTGCTTTCTGCCTGTTGTGGTTGGTAGTCAAAGATACTTGCTGGTGGAGGTTCTGGGGATGGCCAACAGTCTTGTTGGTGGCATAGAGGGCCTCAGCCAGTCTTCTCCTGATGGTGGAATCTGACATTGTTGTTGCTTTCACTTCTATACTGGTGGAATCGCTGGATTGGGCTCATATAGCAGTACAATAAAGGGTGGCTCAACTGTAGCTGGAAGAACACAAAGAGGACTTCCTGGGACCTTGCTGAGGGCCTGGGAATTCAATTTATATGTACTTGATTAATGTAGCCTGTGTAGGATCACTGAGACTTCTCTCCTGTATTGCCGTGGTGCTGGGAAGTGGCTTGGTTTGGCGGGAACTTGCCACTATGTGGAGACAGCCAATTCAGACCAATGAACCTTCTCAGTGAGGCACACAAAATCCAAGTTGGTATAGTAGTCACAGACTAAACAAAGGATGGCGCTTTTATTGGTACCAATTTCAAACTCTCGAATTGGTCAATTGGTTGCCTCGGAGCTCTCTGAGTTACCCTGTTCTGCGATGCCGAGCAGGATCTCGTACTAGTACTCATACTCATACGGAAGATCGCGATTTCAAGGACTCGACGGTGTAAAAGCTTTAAAATGTGAAGTCACTTTCAGTTTATGGTGGCTGAGCCTGCCTTCGGAACGGTGAACTCGTGTCTTATGCCCAAAACCGATACGGAGCCTCTCGGATCGGTACGGAACGTTCTGGAGGCAACGATTTGATCCCAACCTAAAGAAGACTTCAAGCACAACAGTTTGAAGTCAATCGTCCCGTTCCAGATGCAACGATTTGATCCCAAGGATGCCGATCCTATGTGGAGTCTTAGTGTAGCTAGCCGTAGATAATCGTGCTGTTCACCTGTGGTATTACCACAAGAGCGAATCCATTTGCCCTTGTGGGGAGCTATGAATTACAGGGCAAGAGCTCTAGATTCGTGGAAGCAGCACTAAGGCAACTTGCTGGCTTATTGCCTGGAAAGATGGATATCCACCCATCTTCGTCCAGCCATAGTTGAGAATAATGAAATAGTAAAGAGTGCCTGAAGACCCAGATAGCATACCATAGCCTTGCAGTAAATCTTAGAGAACATCCTGTGTGATCTATGCTAGGGTAAATAGCCGCGATTCAACCATTCCAACAGCAGTGGTTGAATAGCATTGGTAGCCAGCTCTGAGGAGCTGGCCTTGACAGCCCAGTGAAGGGAGAATCTCACCAACCAGGGATCTCCCATCCTGGCGCTGGCCAAGTCCTTGACCGACAGCCATCCTCCAGCTGAGGAAGGCCAGTTGAGGCTCCCTTGCTGCCATCTACCAGCTGAGATCTGGCTGAGGAAGAGATCTAGAGGGGATATTCAGTCAAAAAAGACTTCCTGAAATCTCATCGCGTCGAATCGATCCGTCGAATCAAGTCCTGCCACTGTCACTGATCTTTTGAACAAGAGGAGCAGCATGTCATGTTGGAAGGACCTCAGCGGCTCCAGATGAAAGCTTTGAAAGAAGCCTTCCGGCACGAAGCTGTGCATTTTTGTGATAAGGGTGACATGTGCATACTATAGAAATCTAAAAACGATGCACCTCTAGTATGGTCAACGCCTATTGTAGCTAGGGTCCGCACCTCGGGGGCAAAGAATCCGCTAGTCAAGATGGTTGACCACTGGTATCGGTACATTGGTACTTTTACATGTACAAGGTACTCAGCATTGTAGACACTGGACCGTTCGACGGTTTTCACTCAGGCTTTAAAAACTGATACATATCCTGACTCTCGATAAGCGAATGTTAAAAGGATGTGCAGATTTAAGGGGATGTTTAAGGGGATGTTAAATATTTAAAGGGATGTTTGTGTGTGATAAGGGGATGTTGTATGGTGTTTCAATGAAGGCTTAAGGGGGTGTTTCGAGGATATAAGAGGATGTTGTTAAGGGGATGCTTATTTAAGGGGTTCTTTTTAAAAGGGGATGTTGAACATTTAAGGGGTTGTTAAGGGGATGTTTAAGGGGATGTTTCAAAGGGTCCTCAGTCATGGAAATTTCAAGTTTTTAAATCCTGAGTGAAAACCGTTGGACAGTCCTGGACCCCCTTACTGGTCCCCCTTTTCAAAGCATACGGGGCTAAAATGATTCATTAACGGGATTACAACACGGGACTACAATGGCAGCAGTGAACAGTGGCAACACAATCAAGCAACCGCCTTTGACTGGCTTTGATACCCTTCGGTACCAACGCCATTGACCGATCTGTCCTATCTATCTACTAGCTAGATATCTATTCATAATACAATGAGCAGCAGCAATGTGGGAGTTCCCGTGAAGCTATTGTTTGAAGCGGAGGGCATGAAGGTGACCGTGGAACTCAAGAATGGCGAGATTTTTCGAGGCCTCTTGTTGAGTGCCGAAGAGACGATGAACCTGTCGCTCAAGGACGTGCTCCGAACCGCACGCAATGGACAAATCAAAAAGCTGCCTACGGTCTATCTACGAGGGAGTTCCATACGCTTCATTGCCTTGCCGGAATTGCTCAAGAATGCGCCCGTCTTTCAAAAGGTCACCACTATGAAGCGAAAGGCTGAGGAAATGAGACTCCAAAAACAACAGACCAACAAAAAGAGAAAGCGGTAATTCAAGAATGCAGCGACCAAAGTTTGATGAGAGGAAAGAAATTGGAAATTTGGGTGATTTTATTTGGTTTTTGTTCAGCGGTGAGGTCGTTTGGTTGGTCGGATGTATGTGATGGGAGAGAGCCGAGACACGCATACTGTGTGGAATCAATCCATCAACAATAAGCTTCATGGTATGGCCACACTATCCTGCTGAAGTGATGCAACATATAGTATGAATTTGGGTTGTGGGGAGGGCCTTTTGAATAATTGGATACCGTATAGACCCAGCTTCTTCTAGTATTATACCCAACCCACGTACGATAGATGGGTCGATATTGATAAGCTAGCTCCTCCCTTGTTGCATTGAATTGCTCTTTTCTTGTGGCGTGTCCAGATGAGGAAAATAAATGTGCTCCAGGATCAGGCAGGTTTTGGTTGGCGAAACCAGGCCCAGCCCAAAAGCAGTACAGTAGTAGCCCAGCTTCGTTTTCTCCCTCCGGTCCCTCTCCTTTTCCTTCAAGAGAAACAAAGCTGCTCACGAAACACCACAAACAACGACACTTTGCTGTAAAACCACAAATTCATCATCGGGTCCTCCCTCCTATGATGAAATCCAGACAGAGTCTGCCTCTGCATGCGACCCTCTCAGCCACATGAATTCTCTTACCGGTACGTGACCATATTATCGTCATTTTCCCTAGCTAGTAGAGATCTCATCAATAATAGCTTCAATAACTAACTGTAGTTACGTTGTGGAGCAAACATAGGCCAAAAGAAAACATTCATTGGCAAGTGCAGTCAACCTTAGCTCCTGATGGTGGCTGATACGGGGAGCAAGTTCTCTCTGTTGAAGTGGCCACTCGGAACGATGACGCTGAAAACGAACCAAATCCCCCTGTTCTCGCAGTAAACTGAATCTATTGCTTCGCAATGAAATCATCAATTTGGAGGCCACGCTGAAGACAGACTCGAACATTGAAACTAGAAGCAAGTTGCCGCCTGGCCGGGGTACTCGGGTACCCTGCCTGTAGGCTAGAAGATGATGCTGAAAACGCAGTCAGCAAATCAGTCTGTTCTCAGAGGTATAGGCTGCAATCTGCGCCTTGCGTGACATGAAGGATGTGCCCTGTCGTTAGTCCTTGGGGAAGGCAGTCGTTGCAGATTGCTGGCAGGCTGGATGGGATTTTCGACGAAGGAAATAGAGTCTTTCGTTGGCTCTATACCGGTATGATGCACAAAGCACGCCATTTTCTTCCCAAACATGTAGTGAAACTAGCTAGAGCAAAGAAAGATTCATCAAAAGTTAATTAAAGTCTAAAGTTGGCTATGTAAAAGTTGATGCCGTTGTACAACTACTCGTTTCGTTCGTTTGTTTGTGCAAAATGATTGGTTTGATTTGATTTGTACAGAGCCCTAAGTACTAGTTTCTCAACTAGTAGCCAGTAGGCTCACAGTCCGTATTCCATGCCTTGGTTCCATAGTTGGTATGCTTTCTCTACCGGCATGTTGATGTTGAGGCTATTGAAAATGAGACCTGCTTCCAGTGGTAGATTGACGGACTTGGTACACCTGGGGTGTTTCCAAAAGGAGAAACCGCCATCCATGTGTCCTTTGTGTGTGAGACCATCCCCCGTGGCGATGGGACTGTGAGCAGCAAGCAAAAGCAAGTGGGTGAGTCAGTGAGACGTCGCATCTTTCAAACTCCAATCATACCGTACAAAACTGCAATCAATCATTACTTACATCCACGCAGTCTGAATCAACATTTCTCTCAGTTCGTCCAGCGATGTGGGCGATCGCATCACTGCCTCGGCTCTTCCCATGGTTGGTGCCGTGGTAAGGACGTGAAGTTTGGAGAACAGATTGGGGTTGTTGATGGGGATGATATTCTTCTTTCTACTTTGCTTGTTGTTCTTGTTGCTCGCCAAACAGCCATCAAAGTCCCGGTAGACCAGACCATCGACAAACTGTGTGACCACTTGAAAGCGGTCGATTTCTCCTCGTTTCCATCGTTGTTGTGCTGTTTCGGCCATGCAGGCCATTTCCTCGACGGAAAAATCATTGAGAATGGCCACAGATCCCAAGCATCCGGCCGAGAAGCAAACGTAATGCTTGGACGCCTTGTCGGGAATGCTCTTGAGGCGTCCCAGGGTAAACCAAAAGCCGGAAAAGCCCAGCCCTGGCACATAGAGTGTATCCAGACCATCTTGAAAGTCTGCCGTGGGAAACGACGCAGATATCATGGCCAGCAGGAGAGGTATGGAAAGGATGAGGAGGAAGAGCTTGACGGATCTGGAGGATACCGTTGGAAGGGCGGGTGGGTCTAGAGACTTGAGTTTGATGTTGTTTTCACATTCTGGCTCGTCGATGGATAATGTTTCGTCTGACTCATTGCTGTCGGTACTGAGACTGATACTGCAACAACAATCAGACTCCAGAATTGGTTCCCAATCGTTCTCGTCATAGTCTTCGTCTACCAGATAATAGTCGTTATCTGTTTCTTGGAGGTGCATGGGAGGAAAGAGATCGGAGGATGTCGGCATGGTATTGAATCCTTATAGCAAAGATTAGATTGCGTTTTGTTTGTTTCGTTTTTGAGAAGAAAGAGGAGACAGCCATCAAGGACTTGACAACAGCACATTTCCTGAATGCGTACCACTCGTACCGTCACCAAATTGCTTGAAGCAGCAGCATCATCCATTGCCGTAGCGTGGTGCTTCAACCAGCAGAGATCGAATGCGTGGCAAGAATTACCACAAACTGCTTACGTGGATGGACGAAAGATGATGCAGAACTGTGAGTCATCAAACACGAGACGTGCGCGCGGGACGGGAAACAATGATATTTCTTTGGGGTTCGTCTTCATCGCGTTCGGGACTGCGATATCGGTACTTGCTAGCTAGTAGGCCTCCCCACTCCCCAAGTCAAGTTAGCATTTGCTGCGCCTCGAGGTAAAGGTCTCCAATTGGTTCTTTATTTGTGTAAAAACTGGATTTTTGGAGTGAATTTCATGTTGCTTAAGTCATATCAGGCAGTCATAAGACGATTACTTTTAATCGTCTGACAATTAACTTTTAATCGTCTGACAACTGTCTTAAGACGATTATGTCAGACAGTTTCTGTCAGACGATTATTGGCGAAGACCCCACTTTCTCAGGCGATTATTGGCGATGACTCGGAACATCTAGTACTCAGTTGAACGCAGTACCGAATAATGCCAAGAGTAACCAGCGATCGTCTGAAAGATTTAGTGATCATCTGAAATAAGATTTAGCTATTGTCTGACAATCGTCTGACACTTATCTCACCATTGTCTTATGGAAGGATGGTTTCTTTTCAGACAATTATCAGACTCTTCTCATGGAAAGTCATTTATGCCTAATCAAATCGTCAATTTTACTCCGTTTCAATCAAATGGGCTTTTTACCTCGAGGTGCTGGTAGCACGATGGCTGAGCGGTAACCGGCTACGTGCACAAAGACCTCTCTCAGCCACGACTTGTGCTCCGTACGTACAAGGCATGCAGAGATGCACCAACAGCGCTCATGGGTGGGACTCACTTGAGCTATTGAAACGGAGCGATTTCGGAGGTGCAACGGGTCCAACTTTCCCGAACTGCTGACCAGTTCAAGCTCAGAAGCCCATGCAAGCCGAAGGACGAACAGCGAACAGGCTTTTGAGTTCTCCATCTATATATAATTGGTTGGGTTAAGCAAACATTCCCATCCATTTGTTATCACATGCAAAGCTTGCTCGTGCGGCTGAAAACACACACGATCAGTAAGGCAAGATCGCATGAGGTGTCTGGGATGGCGCCCCTGACCAAAGTATCAGTTAAGTTTGAGCCCTTTCAATCTGACCAAGTTGTGTCTCAAAATATTTTCCTGAATGGCACCATTCCAGAGCAGCTGGGCATCTGTTTTCCTTGGAATATATATGCTGGTAAGTGCAAGACATCTTACGAAGAGAGTTGCCTCGCAACGCCATCTTCTCACTCGTCGTCTGCAACTTGCCCCCAGAAAAGGAACAAACTCTCCGGTGGACAGCCTTCTGAGGTACGGTAGGCCTGGATGAATACAGTTCTCGATCTATCTGGCAACACGCTTTCAGGAACTCTGCCAACAACGCTTGAATCTTTCATAGATTTGGCAACATAAGATGCGTCAGCCATGGCTGGAACGATCATCATTGGCACCATTGCTTACCTCGGAGTTTGGTCAGATAAGGTATCTTTCGCTACATCGTGCCAACTTCCGGGACTGTGCTATTGGAGGTGTGTGATTTGTGGATTGTGGATACCAAGTGACTGATGAATTGCAAGCAGAACAGACGAACAGGCAGGCCCCAATCAAACGTTACGCCAACCGAACGCAGGTTTCACGACGTTGGCTGAAAGAGATCTCCTTCAACTGCTCCCTTGTTACGTGTTGCGTGTTCCTGTGATTGGGTTTGTTTCTACAACAGGGCTTGATTTACATTCTAATAGTAATTTGGAACTGTAATGATTGCAGATGCTTCATTGTCGAAGAAGCAGCCAGCATGATGCAAATAATGTGCAAAAGTACTGTACCAGAATTTGCCGCGGGAGTGAGACAGAGACGATACACGAGCAGACACTTCAGCAAAAGGGTTAGAGTTGCTTCATTCTGTGAATCGTGGGAACGATTTTCCCATCAAAGATCTTCGGATCTTCGCGGCTCCGACACGAGACACGATACGAGACAGAACATCAAAAGGCTTCCCACCATCACCTCCTTCATCATGGCAACACCAACACCAACCCCAAGGTCTAAAAGAGAAGAACACACAAAAAACAAAAGAACAACAACAACAACACACCAGTTTAACAATAGAATATGTACATTCCATCCACAAAAGCCCCTCTATTTCTAATGGCCTCGATAGCCCGACATCCTTCGTCGATGCTTGCCGCCCCTTCCACGAAACTGATGATGTCTACAAGCGCTGCAGCTCAACCACAACCGGCAGTTTTCCCATTCTGGCTTCGTCTCAAGGGTATGGCCCAGTTTGAGGATCGACAACGTGTCACTTCCGAGGTCGCTGACAGCATTTCGTCCTCGGGGGGATTTCTATCACGCGCCAACATACTCTCAGATATGGTCACCGTCATGACCATGGAAGATGTCGAGCCAGACAGAATTGGAAGATTCCAGCAACGGATGGGGGATGTGGAAGGATTTCGTCTGGACGACGAGTCCACAGCATTGTTGGACAGCTGCCAATTGCTTCTACGAGAGAAGGAAGATATCAAGATCCCACCGTCCGTCTTTGCCAATCTCCAAATATCATGGTTGAATGCCCCAGGAAACCTGCGACAAGAGATTGTCGCTGATGGGTAAATGCGGCAATCGTTGATCTTGGGAAGTTTGATACAGTAATTCGCTTTTAGCAGAAATGAAACACTTTTTGCTGCAGCAGAGACAGTCCTTGGACTACCGTACCGTACGGTAGGCAACGACATCAGTGGAGACTGCCACTCCTGCAATACATGTTAGCTGCGAAACCGTGAATACCAGTAGAGTGTCTGTATTCAACATATCATTGGCCTGTTGATCTATGTGACTCAATCAGAATAATGGCAACCCGCAACCGCACAATCCTTAATGAAGTGAGCAAGGCACTGTCCACACCGTTTCATTTCTCACCTACCACATATCGAATCGATCGTGGATCAAAGCTGGGCAAGGAATTGGATTGTTTCATTGCATTCTTTCTTTGCTGCTCAATAAGGGGCAATCACAACCACAAAGCTTGCACCGCCTTTGAATGGAACATCACTGTGAAAGAAGCGAGTAGAACGTGCCACGGGAGTGAGGACGAGTAACAAAGGGTTATAGAGCTGCTTCAATTGGTGATCGACAAATAAATGCATAACGTTAGTTGAGATTAAAGAACTAGTAAAATTCCTGGTCCCTCTCTCCCTGTGTACCAGTACATGCTGCTGGTCAAGCAAACAGCATAAGCCAATCCAATCCAAGGAGCCCGCGCTGTTTGTGGTATAAATCGAATCTTTCTGAACCATCGCCCCTCTCCTGGTGCTGTGTATTGTCATTCTGTTCTTCACAGACCTCCCATCCACAAATGTAGCAATGAAATTCCCGCATCGTTGGCACACAGTAAGATCAATACAGCGCTCACAGGTGACACAGAAACTCGCACGACAAGCGCAACTGAAACAGTGTGGTTCACAAGCCCACTCTCCGCAATCTTCGCAGTATCCAAGCTCAATGCGACCTTTTAAAAACATTGTTCGCAGGCCCACTTGCCACATCCAGGCTTGTCACATGTCATCATCCAGTCCTGGTGGACAAATTCCTCACAAAAAGGGCAACGATCATGATCATGGTCAAGATGGACACAGCCTTCGCACTCGATCTTTTTCTGCTTTTTCTTGGCATGATTGCCAGCATCATCATTGCCGTCGTCATTGCTGTCTTCTTCTTTTCTCCAGCAGGAATTCTTTCGAAGCTCTTCACGAAGAGCCTATTGGCACTCCAGCTTGCTTCCATGTTTTTGGCAGTAGTAGTTTGTCAATTGAAACTGATTCTCAACCTGAGATACTGCCATGCATCTCAAAACAGATGCACGGTCCAAAAAGCTGACCAGTTCTTCCGCCATCAAGGACATTGTCATACCAGAAGTAAGAAGATAGAAGATCACTCGCTCCAGTTCCAGATCCAGATCCAAATCCAGATGCGGTAGGAGCGTCGCTTCCAGTGCTGTTGTTGTTGATGTTGCTGCCGTTCTTGGACTCCATGGCTGCCAAAGAGGGGTTGTTACTGTGGACGTGGAGCTATGTGGGTATGTTTTGAGGTATGCATAAATGCGCGCCAAAACTCCTTGACCGTACCATACAATACCGGTACCGGTAGCGTTACTACCGGTACCAGAGAGCAAGGGTTAACGGATCGTGACTGCGAAAAGAGAGGTGACCATTCCGAAGAACCCAAACCCAACACACCGTACGGTACTGGTACCTGTACCGGAACCAGTACGACTGTACCACTATCAGTAACATCGCGAAGCCCCACCCTAGCTAGACTAGGTTCCGCTGATGAATCGAATCTCAATCTGGTGGGGAAAATCAAGCGGTGGGGCGTGCAGTAGTTAGTTGATGTATTTTCTAAAACCGTTGAAGACTTAGCCTCCGGCAGACTGTTCTTTGTTCTTGCTGTGACCTCCAAGATGGCAAATACAACAGTGTCTTCATTTGCGTGTTTCCTCTTGGCACTGTTGGCGGTGTCCAACACGACCGTGGTTTTGCTGCAGTCGGCAACTTTTAGCAAAGCCTTTGTGACCAAAGATTTTTACTCCGTCCGGCACATGATAATTGTCACGGAATGCCTCAAATTCTTTGTGGCTGCTCTTTTGGAAGAGCACCACAGCAACTGGGGCCTCAAAAAGTCCTTCCAACATCATGTCATTGGAAATCCATGTGATGCCATGAAAACGGCTATTCCTGCATTTCTCTATTTTGCCCAAACCTATCTTCTCTTTGAAGGTCTTTTCAATCTCTCCGCTCCAACAGTTCAAGTGGCGAAGCAAAGCAAAATCCTCATGACAGCGCTGCTCTCGGTCATCATCCTCCAGCGAAAATACACATCAGTACAGTGGACGTGTCTTGTGACGCTGGCGTTGGGGATATCCCTTGCACTTATGCCGAGATATTTCAGCACTGGTCCTCCCAGGCAAGGATTTCTTTATGGCATCACCGCTGTTTTGTTGGCTGGCTTGGCCATGTCGTTTGCCACTGTCTACTTTGAAAAAGTCCTCAAGGATTCTTCTAAGGAAGACAAGGAAGCCAGCCCTTTGATACTTGAAACAAGTCAAGACAATAACCTTCCACCCGCTTCCCTCTGGATGCGTACAATGCAGCTGAGCTTTTTCTCCATCCTCATTCCCATTGGGAGATACATGTTTGAGGGCTCTGAGGACCACAATAAGCCCTTCTTGCATGGGTTCACTGTTTGGGTGTGGGTTCTCGCGATTCTGAATGCACTGATGGGTGTTCTGATTACCGCAGTCATCAAGGCAAGCTTTTCTTCTGTCTGGAGCCACTGCTGTGTTTTCATTCCCTGACAACTTGCATTTTTCCCCAGTATGCCGACTCTGTCCTCAAAGCATTGGCAACTTCCCTTTCAATGGTTTTGACCACACTCTTGGACGCAGTGTTCTTTGGGAGACAGCTGGCCCCAACCTTCCTGTTGGGGATGCTCTTGGTAGTTGGATCAGTATTGTGCTTTTCGTTTCATATTGATCGTGTTCCCTCTCGTCCCCTTTGGGATATCCTGATGAGCCAATCTTTGGCGGCCACTATTGGTCATCCTTGGGGAAAGGATGGCAACCGGAATGCGGAAGATTCCCTCTCTGCTCCACTATTGGTAATATAGTCTCAATCTTGTTCTCACCAGCTGGCCCAATGCCACAGTTGTGGACTGTTTCGTTGGCATCTCTGCTGCCATTGTGTACCGGTCTGTCAACTAGGTAGGTTCTGGTGCCTGTTCTCTCGGCTCCTGTCCCAACATGCCAGTGGTGTCTTCAGTTCTCCCCGACGGCCTACAAATTAACAGCTCTGTAGCTTTCTGCATTAGAGAGGCTCGGTTTCCCCCCCTACGATGGACCACATGACCACTACCTACTAGCTAGTCTACAGGAACCACTTGTACCGGTACATCATGACGACAACAGCTTCTAAGTTCGCATTGTGCAAGCTAAACTGAGATCCAGCGGGATTACCCTCTTGCAACTGACCTTGAGAAAAGGACAATGAAGGGTGGGCCCTAAAGCCGGCTTAAAGCAATTCAGTACAGCCCTGTAGTTAGATTTGCTGCGGACAAAGCTTCCGTTGGTCACTTCCTCGACGATGTCATGGAACGCGTTGGACCGTACAAAGACTGGACTTCCGATGAGTGAGGAAGGTATGGTGGCGTTACAGCTCGCTCCAAGCTCTCAAGGCGAATCTACTAGTAGAGCTGCTGCCCGGTACTAGTTCCGGTAGCTACGGTACCAGTACCAGTGGCAGTCACCCGTAGATGCAAGAAGACTAATCTAACCAACCTGACTTTGCCTCGCAGCAACCTTGGCGGTTCAGAGCCAGTAGGCAAATATTGAATCTAGCTGGAAGCTCTGTGGTCTAGCTAGTTCCATCCATCTAGCCGACTAGTGCAGTGTAGCCCAAAACAGAAAATGGCAATACCGGTACTACTCATGTAAACTATGTATATCAATTTCGGAAGCGCACTTGACTTTTCGGGCGCTCGATGGATGCAACTTGCACAAATCATACGGTACAAAAGACATTCCTGTTCGTGGCCCACGGCTCACTTCTTGACCTCGCTTTCCGCTCCCAATCGTTCCCAGATACGATCAAAGAACTCCTTCTCTTGGTCAGGGCCGGTCTTGTCTTCTGCCTTGAGCCTAGCCAAGCGTTCCTTCTCTTTGGTGGGGAACAACGTGCAGCGCTTGACATGCTCGTAGATCTCGTTGACCTTGCCAGGCAACATGCGTCGTCGCAAGGGGAACATGCGGCTGAGGCCACAGCGACCGACATGGCAGCAATAGCGACATCCGAAACCAGGAAGACCCACGCGTAGCGTCTTGCGCTTGCCAACACGCTCACTGTCAATCAAGTGCACCACCTGGACGGACGACATGAGGGTGTACAAAAAGTCCGAAGTAATGCGGATGTCGTCGGGAGACACCAGCAACTTGGGTGGAGCGGCAGTCGTAGCGGGGGGAACGCTGCCGAAAGGAGACTTGCGACGGGCAACAGCCTGGGAGTCGGCGGTCATCTGGATGCCGTGTTCGCTGTCCACCATGCCGAGCTTTTCGGCGGCATAGATCCAGTACTGCTTGCTGTCGTAGGCGCCCTGGGAGTTCTTGGCCTTGAGCTCGGAGAAGAGCTTCTTGCGGATAGCAGGGATCTCAGAGCATTGTTCGAAATGGTCCCTAGTAGAAGATACAGGCAAAAAGGCAAAATGTGAGCGGAATGCATCGATCATTTGGCGGAAAGAAAACACCACAGCGTTTCATATCCTACCTGAGCATCATGGTGAACGATTGGTAGAGCTGTCGAATGCTCGAGGGGAAAGCCGAGGAACGGGACGCCCGCTGTCCTGGATGCAAGTGTGCGCAGTAGCGACATCGGACTCCGACTTGCTGGAAGGTTTCCCCGTTTCCGTTTCCTCCGTTGTTGCCGCCGCCGCCGTTCTTGTTCATTTGATCGACGTGGCGACTGGCTTGGACGACTTCAATAAGATCGAAACGAATAAAGCACTGGAACTCGGTCAACCAGTTATTGTCTTCATCAATTCCCAATGGAATGTGGCTACGTTGGCTGTAGTGGGCTGCTGCGCCTTCCTCAATGACTGGCGGCAAGGGCAAATGAGACGGTGTCGAAGCCGTGCTGAAAGTAGGAATATCCATGGGTGGCTCAGGAATCTGCGTGGGAGCCGACTGCGTTTGATCCATTCCATTGGGGTCTTCACGACGACCGGGAGCTACCGCAGCAGCAGCATTGGGGTTACGCTGGGCCGCTGCCCAACCACCATCCTGACCATTGGGTCCAGCCGCACCGGGAAATCCTCCTCCTCCGGCAGTTCCATTTTTGGAAGCTTCTTGCTGCTGTTGCTGGAGTTCGTTTTCCATATCCATCAACGCCATGAGCTGGGCTCGGCGTCCGGGCAAGCCCATGGCGGCCGCACCCGCGGAACCAGGAGCTCCGGCTGCTGCCGGATTGAATCCAGCGGCCAATCCAGCATAGGGGTTTCCACCGAGCAGACTGTAGTCGGCCGCTCCCATGGCACCGGGCAAGAAGCCTCCCATGGATCCTTGCATGGCGGCAAGGCCCAATCCTCCTCGTTGACTGGCGAGGAGGCCCATGGTGCGGGGATCTTGAAAGGCATCGGCATTCAGGTAGAGAGCCGTCAGGTCATCCATGCCACCAGGTGCACCAGGCATGCCACCTAGCATTCCTGCGCGAGCCGCCATGTTCATTTGCTGGGCCATGTTCATTTGATTCATGGCGGCGGCTGGACCAGCAGCCCCGGCCATGTGGTTCATGCCGGGCATCATCTGACCAGCGCCCATCATTTGAGCACCCATCATGTTCTGCATCTGTTGTTGCGCACCCATCATGTTTTGCATCTGTTGGGCACCCATCATGTTCATATTGGGAGCTCCCATGGGCGAGCCCATCATGTTGTTCATCCCATTCATGCCCATCATGCCGCCGTTGGCACCCATGAGAGCGGGGTTCATCATGGCGTTCATGCCAGGAGCGGAGGCGGAGGATTCGCCATGAGGAGTAGCCGCGTCATCGTTGTTGGTGCCATCACCCGGCAACGCTCCATTGGCTTGGGGGGCAGCACCACCGACACCATTGGGAAGATTGCCTCCCATGGCCGAGGCGTTCATGGCATTCATGACTCCCATAGCACCCGCGTTGAATTCGGGAGCCATCATTCCGCGCTGTCTCTTGGCGGCTTGTTGCTCGGCTTCGTGCTCATTGTACTGATCTTGAAGGCTCAAGCTCAGACCATTCCCAGTGTCGCCTTCTTCACTGAATTGTCTCTTGAGAGACTCGAGACGATCTTCCGATACGCCCGAAAGGTTATTGGCACCTCGGAACATGGTTGTGCTGGGTTGCAAAGAGGATCAAAGGAGAGAAGAGGGGTCTTGTCCAATCGTTTCAAAGGAGTGGAGCCTGGTGGAGAAGACGCCTGAAGCGACGAAAGTGGAACGAAGCAAAGATCGTCATGGTGAGGAAATGATGGGACCAGCATGAGAACGCAGTATTCATCCCATTGTACAAGGAGAGTTAAAGCAGCCCGTCAAAACGGTACGAAACAACACAACCAATTTCATGGTCGCATAAAACAAATCGGACCCCAACAGACAGCTGGTTTACACGCGACAACAACATGGTCAAGGTGCTTACTGTTGAGGGGCAAGGCGATGAACTGGGCTCGTTAGCACGTTGTGTCGACTGAGAGAAGGCGAGCAGACTGAAGATAATGACAAGAATCTGACTTCGTTGAAATATTGCGCTTGACACAGACGACTGACAAGGGAGTTTACAAACCTCTTCCTCTTACTGAGCGTTCACCGTAGAGCCGCGGAGGGATGTAGCGTGGCCCTCGGTTGCTGCTGATTTAAACCGCAGGCACCAAGCTACGCAAATTACAGTACTGATCCCTCCAGTCGTAAAAGTTTTAGTTGCGAACGGTTGGCTCGTAGAGGCTTTTGTTTTCTTACCAGTCAACCTCACTTCCTGCATTGGGCTTGACCATTTCAATCAAAAGCCCAGTCAGTGACTGTCTTGCTGCTTCTTGCTTCTTGCTTGCTCGCTGAAGTGCTGGGGGGTGCCTCAAACCAACTGGTTTCGCCCCTTCCTTTCTTACCCCACCTTTCTGAATGTTTGGCGATGAGGGATACCATCTCCAACCGATTTCAACCATTTTTTACCACTCTCGACCGCCTTCTACCGCCTTCTACCGTCTTTTATACCACCTTATTACCGCCTGTTTACCATCTGTTCACCGCCTGTTAACCGCTTTTTACCACCTTCTTTAGTCTTACCACTCTTTACCGCCATAGACCAATCTTCACCACCTCTTTCACCTTCACATAAGTACCACATTCAGGTGGTTGGGGATATATTCAAACAGATAAGATTGATTTGAGGCACCCCCCTGAAAGGCGGCTATGCAACAAGTTTACGCAAGATCGAAGAAGCTGGAGGAAATCTGCGACATGATGCTAGTACTCCAATTATGACATTGCAACGCCAAATTGCCACTTTGTTAAAACGAAAACGGTTTATTTGCGAGTTTTGGTGAGTAAAAAGAAGAGGTGAGAGGCGAGGTGCGGTACTCATTCGTAGCACTCAGCAGCACCTCAGCAAGACAAAAAAATCTAAACAGAGTATGGATTGAAAGGTGGTTTCGAGTTTGAAGGGTATTTTTCAGAGAGCTTTATCATTTGTAAAGACCCCTTAGCCTATCAATGGCATCAAGAGCTGCTAGTCTACCTGACAAATTGTCAAACCATAGCCGGACGTCTGGGATATGGTATAGCGCTGCAATCTGAGGCAACAAAAAAGACATTAGAAAAGATGGGTATTGACGCTGAAACATTTGGTTTGCTTCTTTTTCAGTGTCCGATTGGGGTACGTGGCAATCGACGTGATTAGGATTCTCATCGAACCTTCAAAAGATCCCAGCATCACTTAGCCACAGCTCAAGGCAAGATGGTGCCCTTTGTACCCTTAAGGCGATCCGGCACTCTGTGCAGGAATGTCGCCTCGCCACCCTTCTCACCATTCACCATCAACCAGGCCCAGCAATATAGAAAGCGTTTCTCATCTGCGAGCGTGGAAGAAAAGCTTAATGGTCAACCGTCTTACTAGTTCACGAACGGAAGCGAAGGCTGTTGACTTGATGCCCCCTGCCGCATCCTCTTACTTACCTATGCAGCGGTTAAGCAAATTGGAAACCCAATTAAAGAGGGGAAATATGATTTGTCTATTACCGGGTATGCATGTTAGAATGATAATAGGCTCCACTTTGGGGGGTGAAATATTCTGGAATCCTTGGTCAGCTTTGACTCTTCTTAGGCAAAACAGCTGGTAAAACTGCTTTATCTCATCAAATGCTCCTTCGTGCTTCTTCTTTAGAAAAATAATTAAACAAACTCAAAAGGTAAACTTCGAGACTTTCACCTTAGCTTCCTTTTGACGTTCAGTCGATGATGAAGTCCCATTGTTAATATGTACGAACCGCAAAGAAGAAACAGCTGCAGAAATGTCAACAGCCATACTCAGAGTACCTGGTAACACGTACCGTAGCAGAGGGTAACAGATCAACAGCCAGCCACAGCCACACGTTTTTTAGCTACCGGACCTCTGTGGAAACTCGAGTCATGCTACTTTTCGTCTCCTAAATCCTTTTGATCGTCTCCTATTTAATGGATTTCATCTCCTCAAAATAGGAGACGAAACGGATCGTCTCCTAAATCTTTTGTCTCCTCTTAAAACGTCTCCTATTTTCAACGGATCGTCTCCTATTCTCAACGGATCGTCTCTTAAGTGTACCATGTAAACTGTACGGTATCGTCTCCTAAATCTTTCGGATCGTCTCCTATTTCGAAACGATCGTCTCCTAATTGGAATGTCTCCTACTGAATCGTCTCTTAAATATAGGAGACGATTGCTTTCATTGCTTAAATCATTTCGATCGTCTCCTATTCCTCGGTGTATCGTCTCCTAAGTATTTTGCCACTAATGACGTTTCCACAGGACCTCTGTGGAAACTCGAGTCGTGCTACTTTTCGTCTCCTAAATCCTTTTGATCGTCTCCTATTTAATGGATTTCGTCTCCTAAAAATAGGAGACGAAACGGATCGTCTCCTAAATCTTTTGTCTCCTCTTAAAACGTCTCCTATTTTCAACGGATCGTCTCCTATTCTCAATGGATCGTCTCCTAAGTGTACCATGTAAACTGTATGGTATCGTCTTCTAAATCTTTTGGATCATCTCCTATTTCGAAATTTTCATCTCCTAATTGGAATGTCTCCTACTGAATCGTCTTCTAAATATAGGAGACAATTGCTTTTGTCTCATAAATCATTTCGATCGTCTCCTATTCCTCGGTGTATCGTCTTTTAAGTATTTTTCCACGAATGACGTTTCCACAGAGGTCCCGAGGTCCTGCAGGAGGAGTACCATTCAGTAGACTAGCTAGGAAATACCGTAGCTAGACTACTTAGAAATCAGTACCACTAGCTAGCTGGCCAGTCAACATGTCAACATGTATGTCAACATGTCAACGCATGCATCTTGAGGGAAACTGGCAAAACGAGCTGAGGGCGAAAGGGGTGGAAGGCAGTGATCTGATTGGCTAATCAACCTATGACATCAGCAAGTATGTCGCAAAAGATTCAAATATACTTAACGTACCATTTATAGATATTACAGAGCAAATGTGCTACCTAGTCGCCGTTTCTGTTTTCGCGAAACTCGAAACAGAGGATTCCTCCGTGCGATGGATCGGCAATGACATCCTGCCGCTCACTCAACCAACCACCGGAGAGCCACTCGACAGTCATTATCTCAGCCAAAAGCACCATCATGACCGGAACAGCAGCAACAGCAGCAGCAGCAGCAGCAACAACAGCAGCTACCACTCACAATGGAGGAATGGGCTGCCAAAGTCAACAGAGGAATTCGCAACAGAAGAGAGCATATCACGCCTCCAACAACAACAACAGATCCAAGAGAGCGAGAGAAGAAGGACCGCAAACAACACTGAGAGGAGTGGTAGCAGAAGTCTTTGATCCACTCAAGAACTGTGCCATCTGTAAGGCCAGACATCTTGGTCTCAGAGTCCCCAAGAGATCACACTCTGTCTTCTGTATTAAGAATACAATAACAAAAGGACAAGGACCTTTGAATGCGCTGACCATGGAGACAATCAAAGAAAGCAGAAGACTCACCAGACAATTCAGTGCTCCTCTTACCACTGAATGAAGAGGAAGCTGAGAGGCATTCCACAACAGAAAACGGAGAAGCATTCTTTGCTGTCTAGACCAACCACAGCCAAATCAAATCAGAGCGTACTTTGCCCACTGCGGCTAACGGCAACAAAAGGGCGGCAATGGCACTCCAGTAGCTCTTTGTGAAAAGGTAACCACTCTTGTTAATGATACTGCCTTTGTGGAAAAGCACAAGAAGAAAGGAGCACCACTGGCAATGCTAGCAATGGCAGAAGCAGTGTCAGAATCCATTACAAGGTCAAAGAACCAGGAACTATTCCAGCAACATTTTGATGGACTCACCATGACAGTTCCTCCACAGAGGAGCAATTCGAGTCTCCTCACACACTCCATTGTTGGGCAGAAACTCCTTCTAGTGGACTGGAATCGATGTGGAATCACTGTACCCTGCCCTGATGGAAGATGCTCTGGCAAACTCAAGAATACAAGGACAAACTGGTCACACAACAAGACCTTGTTCCCTATCTTTGGCATCACTGGTCCTCCTTCTTGGTGTATGGTCATGTCGATGGAGTGTCAGTGCTGCAAGAGACTGTTCAGTGCCAACAGTGCAGAAGTGCTGGTCTCGATCCCAGACCATGCTTCATTGCTCTATCCAGTGGACTCCAAGTATGCTCTAGCTAACAAGACTTGTCATTGGAGAGGACTGCAACAGAAGTGTTCGACACTATAATGGTTACCTATGGTAATGGAGACCTCTGCAGTCGCCTCATCTACAATGCAATCAACAGAGAGTTCATTAGGTCCATAGTCATACTTCTCATACTGCAAGGAAGCGACACTGATCCAGATCCCTTTCTTCAAAAGGATGGCACTTACCTGAGACATTTCCCCACTTGGTGACACATCCGTGACACTATGATGCCGCTTGTGCCTCACAACAGGAATCCATGGAGAATCAGCGACAACACAAGACACACAGAGAGATCCAAAGTGTCAGTGCAACAAAGGAATCTTCTGCCAAGACCATACATTCCAGGTCGTCAAGAACTACAGCAAGAGTCTTGGTGCTGCTGCTGTTTGGGATGCTGCCACAGAGACTGGTGAGATTGATGTGCTGTTCTTGTTCCACCACCAAGACCATCCACTTCTCCCATGCTGCCATGCAGCTAGCAAGGAGGAGCAACTTCAATCCAGCTGCCATGTACAGCGACACCTGGCCCACAAGGATGACTATTGGAGCTGCTCTTTCCAGGTATCGGGGAAGACTTGGCCTGTTCCATTATGAGAAAAGGATTCTGTCAACTTTGAGGAAGGGTCACATTGATTACTTTCAAGCAATGGGAGACCTCTTGGACTGCCTCTATGAGTACTCAACAGATGACTATGAGAAGGTCCTCCATGCTTTGAAACATGGCCTCTTGTCCTCCAATGGCAAGCACTACTCCATGGCAGAGATCTCAGATAT